TGTTCATTCTAGAATGAAAGAAGCATAACTTATATTTATTTCCTAATTTTTTATGGTGGTTGCGAGATCAGTCAAATTTACCGAGCCCGTACAGAGATTAATTACTGAAAATAACAGATAAAATATATAGTTTTTTCTTAAGTAACATTTGATAACTATCTGGACATTATAAAGATTTTGCATGTGAACTTTGAAACTTTTCTGGTGCATAAAAGTATTTTCAGTCTTAAAATGAAAATTACTTTGCATGATAGATAGGCAACGTGTGAAAAAGAAAAAGACTTGAGAAAAACATTGCTTTAGAAACCTTAAGACTTAATAATAAAAAATTTGATATTTTGTGTATGAAAGCAATGTAATGTTTACTGATAATCTGCCAAATTTCGTTAACATTTGCTCACTAATTTAAAAGTTATAGCATGAAAACTGTAACAAGCACAAAATGAATAACAAGGCTGGTCCAAGGGACCAAGCCTGTGCTGAAAGAGTTAAGCAACAGGTAAATAGTTTTTACTGACTTAATCTTGTTGGATAACGACGGTATTGTCAAAACACGCAAGCATCTGTGCTCAGTCACTGTACTATTTCTTCACTGCTTATAAAATGATAAAAATGACTGTTAAAGGACTTAAATTTTAATACCCACTTTGGTGGTATTTTTAATTATCCAATAATTAACTTAGCTTGAAAACAGTCATTTTCTACTTTGTGAGTATTGATTTGTAGAACTGTGAATGAAATCGATGAATTGTTTATTATATGCTCTTAAAGACAAGAATTAACATGTTTGCAAGTTTCTCATTTGAAACCATCTATGTATTCATATGAAAAAATATATGTAAAAATAAAAATTTTTTATTATATGCATAACAGGAGGTGTAGGTGGAGTTTCTGGAGTGGCCAATTTAAGTAGCCTTTTAGGAGTGAACCGTCTGTCGGGTAGTCAGTCTACCACAACCACACTTCCAGCATCTTCTCAGTATGTTGAAGCTAATTTTGTTAGATTTTAATTCCAGAATCTAGTTTTAAAGATTGTAGGTAGGAGGGAGATTATATAATCACAGCGTATCTTACCGCTGCTTTTTCATTTCATTTGGCTCCACCGAAAATATGTATTTACTTGTTAACAATTAAAACAGCTATTTTGGTATATTAGATTTTGCTGAGGGAGTAGAGGTGAATACTAATGTTATGGTTTGTTTGAAGCATTGTACCGAAATGCATCAGTATAAATAGTCTTCCTTCCACATTACTCTTTCATATTTCTATGAATTGACATGATTAGACGTGTTCAATACCATAACTTTTGGAAAATGGTACAAAGAAAAATATTGTTTTTGTAGACCAAGTTCCCATTGTCTAAAAAGTGTATTAATGACAAAATAAGTTATAATATTATAAAGTGATATCGTGAGAATTCAAGAATGTCATTTCATGCTGTCTTTTTTTTTTTTTTTACTAGCTTGCAATACAACTGACATTATTTGGGAACTAAATTTTTCTGAAACAAATTCTAATAATTGTTATATAATAAAACTGTACCAAGCATGTAAGCAGGTTCTATGTCATTAAGATCTGTTTTGAGGTATACGAGTTCATTTAATTCATCCATTAAAAATAAATAGAAAAGAATGAACTGTGGACATGAGTAGCATTCATTCTTTCTGGAATAGGAAAAACTTTGGGAATAGATGGGTTAGTTAGGGTGTGCGACTTTCAATCTGTGGTGTCATGGGCTTGATAACGTTATGGTCAATGCTACTGTTTGTTGGAGTAGACTAAGAGTTGATGATAAGTCATGTTGACTAGCTGTCTTCTATTCTATGTAATCTATCACTTTAACTTAGGGATGGCTAGCACAGAGAACCCTTGAGTAACTTTGTACAGAATTCAAAAAACAAACTTACTAAAATAGGAGGAATTTATAGAAGAAATAGCTGTCATTCTTGCTAAAACTTGATGTTCATGATTTCCCCCATTTTAACTTCTTTCTTTAGTTCAACTCGAACTCCTGCCACAGAAAATACCACTGCTTCAACACCAACACGCACCACTCCTGCTGCCACCACCACTGCCAATAGCAGCATTACTTCCAGTGCTGAAACTCAGCAACAAGCATCTCAGATTCAGATTCAGGATGTACAAAGTATTTTGTCTGGTCTCAGTGGTAAGTGTTTACATTAGAAGGTTATTGGAGTGCATGTATACACCTTGTGGCAGATATTGTCTGTAATCTTTTTGCACAGGAAGAAGCTTAAGAACATTGTTAGAACTGGGCAATTAACCCAATTATTCAATAAAATTGGTTACCTATGATCACTGATTACATCAATTAGTGTTATTTAAAATTATCTATTAATGTGATTTATGATTGATATAATGAACTAATTGAAATTAGTGTTTCCAATTATTTAAACTATTCAAGTAATCAAAATATTGTCATTATGATTTCTCGCTACTATTTTTGATTAATTCAAGTTCGTTCAACTTAATTCATTTGTCTTAATTCACAAAAAGAACCAACTAATCAAATTTATTGTTTCCAGTGATTATTATTATTATTTTCATTAATTCTTGTTTTTTAAACTTCAAACTAAAATGGCCCATTGATAAGGGTGATTTTCTTATGATTTAAAATAAAAGGGTACAAATTCCTTTGACACCAACAGTTCTTGCTCTTTCAAAAGTGAGAGCAATTGCACTGTCAAACATGAGAGCATATCTATTTCTGTTTTTCAGTTATTGCAAAGCTCGTAAGACTATCTCCTACTGCCCCTAATATTTAACTGCTGACCAGTGTGATGGCAACAGGTTGGCAGCACTCACTGCCAACTCTTTACATACGAATAAGATTGACCAATTATAATGCATTAGTAGCTTTGCCATAACTTAAACTTGTTCAGGTATATACAAACTCAACTTTTACTCAACATGTTTTACATTCACAAAAAATAAACATATTATTCTATAGGTATTTGAAGAACTTGTATCAATCCACCACAATTTAATTCTTCTTATTGTTAGCCGACACTAGGCAGCTGGTACATAATTGAATAGGTAGAGTTGTTTAAACATTTGTTTAACAACAAGTAAAAGTTTTGAATGGTCTGTTCCTTCATTGGGGGTGTGTCTGTGACCCAGACTAGTTTTGGAGAATTCCACTCCTCATCAGTGACCCTGGACACTACCATTTTTTGTGAGTGTAAAACACTTAAATATACATCACTAATATAAAGGCTTGGTTTAGTCTGACACACCCCTAATGAAAGAATAGACCATTCAAAGATTTTACTTGTTGTTAAACAAATATTTAAACAACTCTATTCAATTAGTATTACTGCTGTTGGTGGAACTGCATGCGACAATATGTATTGTTATGGCCTAGGCTGTTGGTTATATAACTAGCCACTGTGATGCCTGATGATGACAAAACCTTGTCGAAACGTAGTACATTTGCTGTTATGTTGAACTTATATTTAAGTTTTTCTTCATTACCCATTCAAGCCGTCTCCAGCCATTATTAGCTTAAATTTATATTGTGTATCCTAGGTTGTTATGGACACTATTTTATATATAATTAAAATTAGATAAAATATCAGTTTTTGTTTTTTTTTCCCCAAGAGTTTGTCTTGGGAAAATATTAATTTAAAAAAAATAAAAATTTATTGATAGCTTATTTCTTATTTTTGGACTGTTTATATACGTGTAAATTTTAAATTTACAAACAGTTTAAATTAAAATGAAATGTAGAGTGTATGCACAGATGTTAATGTTTGCTGTTTATTTCTAGTACCAGCATCTGAGGATGGTGGCTTATCTAAGTCTGCAGGTAGGATTCCAAGAAACTTGTATATATACACACACTATATATACTATGCCAGATATTCAAAAATTGAGACATCTGATAAAAAGCCATGCTAATCCAATAATTAAAAGGAATTGGGTCATTGTTGGCATAAGAATAAATTTAATGTTGTGAGAGTGCTACTTACTGAAATAAAAAAAATTAATCTTGAGTTTGTTGCTCTGTATTTTAAATATATAACTAAAGCTATATATAGCTATCTGTTTTAAAACAAAACACAAACAGCTAGGGTAAAAAAAATGTCTAATGCTATTGACAAGTGAACCTGTCACACTCAAGAACTGAACAAAATTAAGTTAACCTGATTAGAAGTGTTTCTTTGATCCTCTTTTTATATATACACACACACACACACACACACACACACACACACACACACACACACACACACACACACACACACACTCACGACACGACGACGACACGACGGAGGAGAG